CCCACCTGTAATCGAGTGTGTGGGTCCAGGATAGGACTGTTTAGCCATCAAAGATCTCACCGATAAAGGCGTAGACGTCGTCATCAGATTCGATGGACAACCGAGAGAGAGAGAGTGTTGGAAAGTGATTATTAGAAGCATATTTGGTTAAGATCCTACTCAATTCAACAATAGTCCACAGTCCAGCTGAGAGCCAAGTGCGTTTCACAAATGCATTATACAGGAACTAGTCAGGTGTGGAAATTGCATTGACAGACACTCGGATACACAATTTAACCTATGAAAAATCCATTTCCTTTTTTAGATTGGTGCATATGTGCCTGAATGAACTTTGCTCACAAGTTTGATTGTAATGCATACGTTTTGCATCACAGGGGGAGAAAGACATAAAAACGTCACAATTACTATCCTCAAATTCTGAATTTGTATAACATAGTCAAAGTTCAAACAAGTTTTCTCATATTGAATGAACTGCTGTAGTATGGGTGAAGCACAAAGCAATTTATAGAGCAATACAAGCAAGAAAATCTGAGAGAAATCTGAGCAACCTTCCCATTAATCCTCTGATCCTCTGATTAATGATTCATGTCCAATAATAAAGACATGCCTCTTTTGACATCCGCGTTTATCATTCAGAAAGAATGTTAATGGATGCTGTTAATCACAAATTAATTAAGATAATGTGGAAGGTCTAAGTAAACATAGGACTTTAAGTGGAAAAGGCAAGGCATGACTACAGAAAGACTACAAACTTGAATTCCTTCAGAATTTCTGAAAAAATCTAGGAAGACTTTGTTTCTTATTATACATCAGTTAAGGGCTGTTCACGCAGAGGACTATAACAATTAAGTTTTGATGATCATTTTGATTCTATAAGAATAGGGAAGTATAATGATAACGGAACAAGAACAATATTGGTGGAATAACTTTAAGAACATTTTTATCCATTTGATGAATGTTAAAACCATTGACAATCAGAATCAACCCGACTTTAAAGTGAACAAGCATTTAAAGCGGCAGACGACAAAACTGCAGCTCTTGCTTATAATATACTGAACTGTGCATTCGTGGTGTGGATTTTTCATTACATCATTATGCCAGTAGGTGGCGACAAATGGCTGTCTTTATGAGCAAGTCATTGGCTGCATCCAAATATGCATAGCAAAGTACGCACTTACTCAAAATAAGTAAGTGTATGCGATTTTGGACGCAGCCATTGACTCATTTTCTCAAATGATTCATTCAAAAACACAGATTCATTCAGGATTTGAACAAGTGAGTAATTTCTCTCACGATTCTTTCAAAACTCAAACGATTCTTTCAAAAACAATGATTAAATCAGGAACAAAACAAGTGAGTAATTGAACCATTCCCTCAAGCCACCCATTCAAAAACACTGACTTATTCAGGAATAATCTAATTATTGTTTTGAATTATTTTCATTGGGGGAGCAAAAAGAGACAAATGTGCTCACAATGTTGCATCCAAAATGAACATGATTCAATATTAACTGAAGAAATATTGCAGTTGTGATCTTATGCTCTGTAGACATCTTACACTTCTTCAGAAATAAAAGAGATGTTCATTTCTCTATTGCTATGCCTGCAAACCAGACCTGTGAGTGCCAACAGGAGAAGCAGAACTCTGTGACTGATCCTCTCATGCTTGTTTAACACAGAAATGAAATGGATCAGTGCAGCAGAGAGTGATCTGGGTCACACCTCTGCTTTAATCTGTTGGACCGAAGGTGACTATATACTGCCAAGCTCTTGGTGCAGTATTGCCAAGCAGGAGACAGCAACACTGGGTGCGTAATGCCTGTGTTGTGCCCAATTCTGACCCCCCCACCAGATTATTACACCCCTAGTACTGGTAGGTTTAGGGTTAATTGTGGGGGAGGGGTTTTGGATTAGGAAATCAGGTAGCAACTTCAATGAGGGGGGTAATAATTTGTCAGGGAGTCAAAATTGGGCACAACACCTGCACCAGACTTTTTTCCTCAGCATTATATACTCTGTGACCTACACCACTGTCCTGGATCAGCATTGCTGCTCTGACAGGCAGCATTACTCACAAGTCCTTCCTAAACTGTATACACAAAGATCAAATTTTAAACCATACCCCTAGAGAACAGACCAACAGAGGTGATTATAGGTCATAAAGTTAATATTAGACACCTTCAAGTCCCAGATCTCATCTTAACAGTAAGAGCTGACGAATTTGAACATGAAACATCATCATATTAAGTCAATAGCAGTTCTTTTTTATGCACACCAGGCCATATGTTCAGTTGA